TGTGTGTGTGTGTGTGTGTGTGTGTGCGTGCGTGCGTGCGTGCGTGCGTGCGTGCGTGCGTGCGTGCGTGCGTGCGTGCGTGCGAGCGAGCAGGACGCAGCTCATTTCTTGTTCGATCAGCAGATTCCACTGAGCAACATGAACTGACCTCAGATCAGAGCTGCTTCACAAACAAATGCTCTGAAAACTAGTTTCATTCAAAAAACGCTGATATTATTTGTCTTCATGATGATTCTGAAGAGAAGAAGTTGATACGTCTGATGAACTGATCACATGAGGGTTACACAACATCATCTCAGCTGATCGTATCAATATTTAAGAGACGCTGACTCTGTGTCTTCATTGGTTCGTTTCAGTTGCCTGTCTCTGGGACGATGCTGGACGTGTACGGCAACAATGGAGGGATGGCCACACCTGCCATCACCATTAGCAACAGTTGCCCAGCGGAGCTTCACGCCATCAAGACCGAGCTGATCGGTGAGTGAGCGACGCCGTGAAGCGACGCCGTCTGCACAGTTTAACTGATCGAACAGTGAAAGTTTGCAGAGCTGGCTTCTCATTGGCTCACACCAGTTCCGATGTCACAGCGCAGAGAGAGAACCCCCCCCCCCCACCGTGTTTCCCTGTTTTCTGCTGCAAAATCTGTTCTTCTTCATTTTGATGAGTCAACACCACGACTTCCTGTGGACACACACACACACACACACACACACACACACACACACACACACACTCACTCACACTCACACACACACTCACACACACTCACACTCACAGTCAGCATCCAGTCGTATTTTTCCACATCATCAGTTCCCACTTCCCGTCCAGTCAACATGAACGTCTGCTTCAACAGAAACAGCAGTTTGTCATTTTCAGGTTTCTGTGACTGAACTTTTAAAAATCTTTTCTCTCATGAAAACAAAACTACAAACTAAATAAATTCACTAACGTCAAACATGTGAAACTTTTATTACACAACAAAGAAGAAACTGAAGCTTGATGAAACTGTTTAAACTGAAGTTCCACCTACGAGAGTTTTCGTCACATCACATGGTCTTCATCAACATACGGACATGGACTCATGTTCAGGACGTTAAAGTCATTGTCGTCTTCAAACCGACAAAATAAAGTTAAGTCGTAAAAAACTGAAATAGTGAGCGGACCCACAGTGTTGACAAATCAGACAATTTAAAATGTTTCTGTTTGACCTTCATTAAAAGTTGTTCCCACATTTCAAAGTGTTACGAAAAACCGGTGATTCCAACGCAGCTGCTTCATTTGGTCCGAGGTCGTGAATCCAGATTTCCTTTCTCTTCAAATGTGAAATGTTTTTATTTCTCCACAACGGCGACACCTAGTGGCGAGAAGGGGAGGGACAGTAGTTCTAATATAAATATGTTCAATCTGTTGTTGTAGATGTGGAGACAAAAACTCTGATCAAAGAGAGACAGAAGAAGGACAACCACAACCTCAGTGAGTTCTGACGAGCGCTGCAATAAAGACCGAGTGATGATCATAAATAATACTAATAATAAAGTTTCTGTTCCAGTCGAGAGGAGGAGGAGGTTCAACATCAACGACCGCATCAAAGAACTCGGAGCGCTGATCCCCAAATCCACCGACCTGTCAGTAAACACATACAAACCACCCCGTACGTCTCATTGTGCTCGTTAGTGTTGTGTGTTAACGAGGCGTGGCCTGTGATTGGTTGATCAGGGAGACGAGGTGGAACAAAGGGACCATCCTGAGGGCGTCGGTGGATTACATCCGCAAACTGCAGAAAGAACAGCAGAGGGCGCGAGAGATGGAGGAGAGACAGAAGAGGCTGGAGAACGCCAACCACTCGCTGCTGCTCCGCATTCAGGTGAGGAGGGGGGAGGAGCTTCAGGAGGATGTGATGTGAGCTGGACGGAGATCAGATCTCAGCGTGTTGATGTCAGCTGTGAACAGATCACACCTGGATACAGATGTGTTGGAGGGGGTGTGACGAGGGTCTCTAACGTTTGAACTCTGACGTGAAGTTTAGTGAATTATCTTCTTTGTTGTAGGAGCTGGAGCTTCAGGCTCGTCTCCATGGCCTCACCTCCTCCTCTTCCTCGCCTCCCCCCGCCTCCTCCTCTTCTACTCTTCTTTCCCCCACTCTGCCTCACCCCTTCTCCTCCTCCCTGGCGGCTCCCTCCCTGGGTCTGGACACCCTGAGCTTCGTTGAGCTGGACGAGCCTCGGGGAGCCTCCACTGTCTTCTCTGCAGACCTGATGGCGGACGTGGGCCTGACGGAGCTCCACAGCCTGGGAGACATCCTGATGCAGGAGGGGGGAGGAGGGGGAGGAGAGGTGATGTCTGACCCCCTGCTGTCCTGTGGAGCCTCTAAGAGCAGCAGCAGGAGGAGCAGCTTCAGCATGGACGAGGACCTCTGATGACATCATCATGCACGCAGGGATCTTATTGGCCAGAGGCAGGACTCAGACCAGAGATTTTTTTTAATTTTAATTTTTTTAATAGAAATATTATTCATCAAAATCAACAGAATATAAAAGTGATGTCACAGGGAGCCAATGTTTCCTACAGTGTTACCATGGTAACCACTGTGAGTCTGTCAGTTTCACACGCGTTTCCATGGTACTCTCTGTGTGTGTGTGCGTGTGTGCGTGTGTGCGTGTGTGTGTGTGTGTGTGTGTGTGAGTGTGTGAGAGAGAGGGTGAAACAGTGTCACTGTGCTATCCAGGAAGTATCTCATTACCAGATTACCCATGATAACCGATATGTCCTCCAGCATCACTTAGATAACCATGGTAACCACTGTGTCTTCCAGTGCTCCCATCGTCACCAGTGTGTGTTTTCCAGTGTCACCATGGCGACAGCTGTGCTGTCTCATCCTCCGTCAACATCAGCCCAGAAACAGAGCAGAAGCTAATCGTCCATTACTGAAATAACTGATCATTGGAGCAGCAGCTGATCAATAACTGGTCGATAACAGTTCAAATGAAATCTGTTTTCAGTTTCAGATAAAGAAAACGTTTCATCAGTGACAAAGAAGTTTAGAAATGTTTGCATCAGGTTAAACTGTGTTCTGATAGGTTCACGTCAGAAGCTGGTTCCTTTAAAAGAACGACGCACCAGCGAAAGAAACAAAAACTGATCCCTGAAAAAAATAACCAGAAATAAAAATGTACAAAGTCAGATGAAGTTGACATAAACAATGAATATAAATATTCATGTGTGAATGATAAAGTCAAAATTAATTATTTGATACAAAGTCAAAGTTCTGACTTGTGGCTGAGAAAAAGGTCAGATCATATTTTTTTCTCTCCCCGGCTGCAGTGAAGTTTTTTTTTTTTTTTTCACGAATCGATTTTATTTCCAGAAAATCTTTTAAATGAGATCTATGTCTATTCCTGCTACCAAGCTAACGTTAGCTCACGTTAGCATTTGCAGCTGTTTACTCACCAACTGTTTTCTTCTACTGGAGTTAGCATGCTAACCAGTTTAGCTGTTGTTATGGGTTAGACTTTAAACACAATAATGGCTGAAGTACACAGCTAATGCTAGCATTAGCTTTGTGCTGATGTCATTCAGAATCTTTCACATGTGGCACAGATTCCTGTAGCCACGCCTCCATCTGTGACATCACAGCAGGCGTCTCACCTGTTCAGGACTCAGGAGCTTCTGCTGCAGAATCTAGAATCACTGTGTTGGAGACAGGAAACGTTGCTGGACGTTTAATGGACGTCAGATAAAACACCTCTTAAAATAATATTACAGCAGAGTTCATCCTCATTCAGGAGCGAAGCTTCGTCCACATTTATTATGATCAACTTACAGAATTAGTTTATCAAATCAATTTACATTTAATAGACCAAAGGTCCAGATTTCTGTGACATTTCAAATAAATGCAGCTGAATTGACAGTTTGGACCCAGTGATGTCACTGAGCAGCACAAACCTGAATCAGCCATAAACATGCCTGTGATGTAGCTCCGGTTACCATAGTAACGACAGCTTGTGACTCAGCTGTCAGTCACGAAGAAGGGATTCATTTCATCTGTGATGTTCATGTAAATGTCTGTAGCCTCAGTTTTTATAGATCAAACTTTTATATAGAAATAAATTCAATTACAATCATTTTGATTGTGTGTGTGTGTGTGTGTGTGTGTGTTTCCTCAGGCAGATCACATTTCATCAGTTTGAACACCAGGGGGCAGTATCAGCACTTAAATCTCTGTCTGTGACACTGATCTGTGCTGTGTGTGTTTGATGTTGCTCTTCCCAGAGATCAGAGGTCAGGTGGAGTTGTCATCACAGTGATTTCCTGTTTCCTGTTTGGATGTCCTGGCACATAGTTTCAACAAACACACACTTCCTGTGCCAGCAGGACCCACTTCCTGTCCCACCCAGCCCCGCCCCCCCCTGAGCTGTCAGTCAGGTTTACTTCGTCCTGGCGCGTTTTCACAGCTCAGAGCTGCGTTACTGCACAAGTAGTAGTCAGAGAGTAATCTGATTACATGTACTCACATGACACTGGCACATGTTGACGTGCACATCGTAGCTTTAACTTTCGTCGTCATAATAATACGAATTATTTCAAACATGAGGAAGTCACAGTGAGGACACGGGTCCACACTGAGACGCCATCACAGTGAGGACACGGGTCCACACTGAGACGCCATCACAG